TTCGCTGCTCCTGCATTCGGAAACTCGTTGTCTATAGTCTGTGGTGATTTTAATTTATGTGATCACAGCTTTTTACTTCACTTGGTCATGAGAATCTAGTCAAGTTTAATACACGTCTGGACAAAACACTAGACCTGGTTTTCATAAATGACCGTGATGTATATGAAACCCGAAGGAGAGCTCCTTTGCTAAATTCTGACCACTGCATTATTCGTATTTTACCGAAAGTGTACGGCAAGTTACAACGAACATTTTTTAGTCATTTAACAAAGAAGATACATGAACGTTCATATTCCCATGACAACATTCTAGCATTAAGAAGCATGTTGTATGATACCAACTGGGAACTATTTACTGACGATAAGTTGGATGCTACTGTCTCTAATATAACCGATTATCTGAAGTTTTGTTTGGAAATTTGCTGTCCATATGAAACATTGTTTTCGAGATTTGACAGAATCTCTTCTTTGCAACTGAAAAAACTTAGAAGACAAAATGAGAAGTTGTATAAAATTGTGATAATACTGGTGTCCGTAAAATTAACACCCATATAAAAATTGAAATAGAAAAGTTGAACTGACTATATAACGAAAACTTTTTATCATGTAAAAATCCTCCAAACATTTGGAAACTTTTCAATAAACTTACAAGTAAAAACAAATGTCCGTTGATGCTTAATCTGGTGTTAATGCTTTAAACAAATCATTTATCAAGAAACAAATTAATATGGTTGTACCTGATGTACCTAGTCAAGAAAATGGTCATTTTCCGGGTTTTAAAGAAAAGGATGTACTATTATGTTTGAAGTCATTAAATCCAACACACAGCCTTGGTCCAGATGGTGTACCAAGCATTCTTCTTCAAAAGTGTGCAGACATCTTGTGTCACCCTCTTACTCAAATCTTTAACGCATCATTTAATAGGGAAACGGTACCTGCTGACTGGAAAGAAATCAAGGTTGTACCAGTACAGAAATCATCTTCTGGAGCAGGTATAAAGTTTAGACCGGTGGCTATAACATCTCCTTTTTTTGAAAACTATGGAGAAACTTCTTTTGAATATTCTTAAACCTTCTTTAAAAGCTTTTAGTGACCCTAAGCAGTTTGCTTATAAGTGTGGAAGAAGTACATTAGATGCAGCCATTGTACTACACCACAATATTGTTTCCTGCCTTGATAAGGGCGCTAAGTTCGTTCGAACAGCTTTTTTAGACTATACTGCAGCTTTCGACTCTGTTCCTAGGACACTTTTATTGGGCAAGATGAATTCAGCACAAACACAGTCCTGGGCAACTAGATGGCTGTCTTCTTATTCTAAGGATAGGAAACAGCATACTGTTTTGGCTGGAAAGCGCTCCACTTCTCAGCTAACTGAAAGTGGACCATTGCAATATGTAAAAGAAACGCTGAAAATTCCATGCTGTAAATTGTTATTGTTGTGGAATAAATTTATTATTATTATTATTATTATTCAGCACAGTTTACGAAAGGTGTAATGAAATATTCACACTAAGTAGCCAATAACTAGGTCAACTTGTCAATCAATCATCGCTTAACTATCTTCATGAAAGCAAGAAGGACATGGATTGCAGCAAAAGCATTCGCGCATTTTATTATAAGGGTTTATTACAGCAGTAGACTGCCCAAAAGTATTATGAAGATTAATGAAGTAACAGTAGAAGAACAAACGGTGTCAGAAAGATCTTAGGCACTGTTGAGGATACATGTAGGCCTAATCAAACAATGAACTGTTTGATGTATAGAATCAGAACCGATAGGTTCAATAAACTTTATTGAAAGTTACGTTGCTTAAACAGCCCTGAGGCAGCCTGGAACAACATACAATTAGCTGTAGACAAAGCTGTGAAAGCTATTAATAAGCTAAAACCAAATGTTAGTAAGAGCCATTGGATCTCTACCGCCTCATTCGAACTGATTGACGCAAGAAGACTGATTTCGGCGAGCTCCGATTATGATGAGGAGCAAAAGCTACTCAAACGAAAACTAACAAGAGGTCTTCGCAACGACCGTGAACAGTGGTGGACGACAAAAGGCATCGGCAATTGTTAACACCAGACAACTATTTAGGCTTATCAGGCATACAGGAAGTAAAAGGCGAATGATAAGTGAAACAATCTCGGAGAAAAATGGCACCATAATTAGCTCTCAGGATAGACAATTGGAACGCTGGAAAGAACACTTTGAGGAGCAGTTTAATTGGCCCACAGCCACGCTCAACCTTCCGAGCATCCAACACCTCCCTGAATGGGATATAGACACAGGTCCTCCATCCCTAACTGAGGTTACTAAAGCTGTCACCAATCTGAAACTAGGCAAAGCAGCAACACCTGATGGAATCACTCCAGAGGTATTTAAGTATGGTGGAGACAGCTTTCTGTCTGCATTAACTGAGGTACTAGGCAGCGTCTGGGAATCGGAAGAAGTCCCATCGGGTTGGTGTAAATCACTGATTATCCCCATATACAAGAAGGGATACAAGTCTTCGTGTGATAATCACAGAGGGATTAGCTTGACTAATATAGTACCTAAAGTCTTAGGCTCAATAATCATGCGTAGACTAAGTGGTGCTCGGGAGGCACAAACACGAGAGAGCCAGGCAGGCTTTAGACCAGGAAGAGGGTGTATTGATCATATCTTCACCCTCCGACAGATTCTAGAACATAGGCATTCCTACCGGCGTCCAACAGTCATTATATTTCTTGACCTAAAGGCAGCATTCGACTCTGTCGATCGAGAAGTTCTCTGGAGATGCTTGGCTGTAAAGGGGATTCCGAGAAAATATATTTCACTGATTAAGGCACTCTACTCGTACTCATACAGCCAGGTGAGGGCTTACGGCGAGTTGTCATCTGAACTGGTGACGACCAGTGGTGTCCGTCAAGGATGCCCATTCTCCCCTTTTCTATTCAACTTCATCATAGTTGTGTTAATGGACTTAACTCTAAGTGACTTCTGCGACTCAGGGATCGACTCGCTACCAGGGAATAATCTCGTTGACTAGGAATATGCAGACGATATAGTCCTCCTAGGTGACGACTCTGACAAAATGCAGAGTCTTCTAAACACCTTGAGCTGCAATCTACGAATGTTTAGCATGCGATTGGCTTCCGCCAAATGCAAGATGATGTCACAGGACTGGACTACATCGACGCCTAGTTTAAAAATAGGAAGTTAAGTGGTAGAGCATGTTGACCGCTTCACTTATTTGGGAAGTACCACCAGCCATTGCCAACGGGTTGATCTCTGATGAAATCTCAGCACGGATACAGAGGGCTCGTTTCGCATTTGCCAGTTTACGCCGTCTCTGGCGTAGACGTGATATCCGCCTGGTTGTCGACCAAAGGGCGGGTGTACTGCTCATCAGTCCGCTCCGTCCTCCTGTGTGGACAGCTGTGAGACCTGGCCACTGGGAGTGGAAGACATGAAAATACTAGCTGTCTTTGATCATAGGTGCCTGCGTTCTATCTCCCGTGTGAAGTGGTATAAGGAGGTGAGCAATATTGAGGTTAATCACCGGTCGAGTGCTAGGTAAGGAGGGGAAATCAATAGACGAGGTTGTGAAGTTACATCCACTGAGATGGTCAATACATGTGTTATGTATGCCAAGTCATCGCTTTCCACGACGGGCAATGTAAGCTGACACAGGGTCAGGCTGGAAAAGAGCTAGTGGAGGTCAAACAAAAACATGGCAACAGTCAATGAAATCTACAACAGTTAGTCTAAGCCGCGTAGGAAGGTGTAGACTTCCAGGGTGGGGTCCCCGTGACGGTGAAAAAAACGGTTGAAAACAAATGGTGAAATGGCTCAAAATCGTTGTCAGTGGCGCAGATGCATCCACTCCTTGTGACTTAGGATTTCCAATTAAACTATGTTGTTCTTCGTTACTACTATTCCTTTGTCTCACACCTCTGTTTACTGTCTCTGTTATGGATTTCTTCTACTTTCTTCTCTTGCTTTGTGTGCTACATGGAGTGTGGCGACTCGAACTGTCGCACATATATGTGCAAAGTTCTATATCGAAAACAGACAGAGAGTCTTCATCTAATCATCTTTGCACAAGTGTAGTAACAGTGAGGCATAGGAAAGCATTCTTTAACCATTTATACTAAAAGTAAACAAAGCCACAAAACAATTAAAAACAAGCTTAGAAGTCGTGTTCTTACTTCTCGACTGTTATGAACCATAACTAGGTAGAAGTAAACTGAACTGTACACAAATAGCAGACCAATAAGTGGATCTCATGCTCCGATTTGGCATGCTTTCATAGACAATGACAACAGCAGGATTGTTTGCTGTGTTAGCCAATCACAGAATAAAAAGAACTGATTGTAAGCTTAGCAAATGATCGCCTAAGTAAGTGGGCAGTCTTATACTTGTTGAAATCTTTCAAACCATACCTACTAATTTTACAGTATACAAAAGCTTAACATATGAGGCTGACCGTTATCGAACATTGTGATCTGATCCGTCCATTGTTAAAATGTTCAATATGGACAAATTCCTCTGGTTAATTCTGTTTTAATTTCTAGTTTTATTTATATTTTTAGTGAATCAGATCCAATACTGTGACGAATGCTAAGAATTCCATTCTGTATTATAAGTACTGTTCGTCTTGGAATAAAGTAGATTATTATTATTATTATGATTGTTATCATTAAGTTTATCTGACATACTACAAGTAATATTTAAATTTGCTTTCAAGATCTAAATAATGAGTACCGCTGAATAGTAGTCAGTCAAGTGACAACACAAAACAACTAGTCTGCTTTACTACCCTTATTGACTTTGAATAAAAAACCAAACCAACAGTTGTTGGGATTCCATTGGTTTATGAGACAAATTCAACAAATGCAGCCAGCTTTAAGCCAAACCTTCTCACAATACCTGTCTTAACACTGGCTTAGTGAGGTTAATGAGTACGTCAGCCGGGAATCGAACACCAGATCGCGAGATAAAATTTGATAAAAGTAAATAACTCACTTAGTTAGTAATAGTTTACACATTTGACCACGATGAGATTCACATATTTCCAATGCTTCTGGTCGAACTCGTGAAGTTTGTTTTAGTGGAGGCTCAGGTAGCATGGAATGTAAATTACTGTTGCTTAATGTCCCACAATTCCTGTTTGCATGTTCAATACCCTATAAAAGAAGTGAAGTAAAGTAAAATCTCGTTTTACTACACTTTTTTTATTTAATAGACAAAAGTTGGTCAGAAAAATACCAGTCAAATCATACTTCTAAATTATTTCCGACAAGTTGTGATTCAAGCGGTCAGTGTTTATTAGGCTAATTTTGATTAGAAAGAGAATTTACAGAAACATCCTAAGTGTCATGTTTAGAGTAAATTCAAATGGGAACGAAAGTAAAAGGTTCTTCTTCTTCTTCTCCAATATGCAAGTAATCTTTCTTAACAGAACCTGAATTCAACTAAATATAGAAGTCTTAATTCCACTAGAGAGTAGGATTTGTTTGATATAATCACTCAGTGTTATTATATAATATTTATTTACTGATGACATTTTGAGCAGAATTTATTGCTTATAGTTATATCAAGGTTACCATATATAACTCAGCAACCTCCCTTAAATAATTCCATTATTTCATAACAGTGAACGATATTATATCACTGTGTTCTTCTGAAATGAATTCACTACCTAACTGTAATAAATACCCTACCAAAGTTTAGTATTTAAGTTCTTTTCTTATTGCCCAATCTCGCTTCAGAAAGTTGATGAATAGAGCAAAAATCCTTCAAAAATCACACTATCCATTCGACTATCTCTAATAGATTGAAGTGATTTTATAGATTTCCAGATGCTCACTTTACGCGGATTTCTATTGCTCTCAGGTGAACTACGTCGCAAACCGATATCCACGAAAATCAAAGAAGTAGAGAATAGCTGATTTGTTCTATTTTGGGGGCTTCAAAAGCCGTACACCTGCCTTATCATAACAAGAGACTCAAGCGTCTGTACTATTCACCACGGTGTCGTCTTGCGTTTTATTGGTCGTGCACGAACTATGTCTGACTAAACGGTTGGCTAGATGGCTGACTAAACATACATCACCACTCCACATTGTCTATCCTGAAACATACTTCGTATTTCGGTCAACTAATTTATTGTTTTGACTTGCCTTCCGAACACTTGTCTGGTGTAAGTAGGACAAGTACATTGGGCGTTGGAAGATGTACACTTGTATTCGCTTGTAGTGTATTTGTGAAGACGTCGATATCCTTCACCTTTTAGAGCGATCCGTCATTACGTCTTTTGATTAACATATTAAGTGATGAGTGAAGACTCCTTTTCTCGAGTAAGTGTTACGCATCGATGGCATTTGTTGAGTGAGGGCGAAATATCATCAAATGGAACATTCTTATTGTATATGACGAACATTTCGTCTACATATCTTGTGTAGATATTGAGATGAGCAAGTGGGCAAGTGACGGTTTGATTAAGCTCAATGTGTTTTGAGCTTTGGTATGAAACAATCAGTCAGGAGTGGACCCAGTGATGGTCTGCTTGCGACACAATCCATCCTTCAGTTGATGTATGTTGTTGAATCTAAACTGGGTGTTGAATAGTGCACATTGGTAAGGGTTATTTAAGATAGGTGGTTTGTACTCCTTGTCTGAGTTATGTGTATCAGCGTATTGATATACGTATAAAATGGACGGTTTCTGTGGGTGATCCTTATTTTGTGTCAGCGTCTAGCTCATTAACTTGATAAAATCTACTGAAAATCACTTTTCCCCTGAACTCTCGAAAACTGCACCTTAAAGTCACTGAACTGGTAATCAGTTGTTGGCATTACCACGCTAGTTGATTAATTGCATCTGTGGCTATGCTTTTAAATAAGTCGAATGATCAAAAGCAAGTCTATAAATTTCCATGCGCACCTCAAAGTGCCAAGGGTCAGATAATTATACCATAACCAGAGTAAGCAGACAATGTTTGCTCACCTTTATTGGTTGCCAACTTTGAATAATTGAAACAATAAATGTAATTCGATTTTTGATTTAACCAAGTTCTTACAATGTATATTATCAATAATCTAACAAGTCGATTCACCATTATTAGATACTCGGAGTCATTTAGCAGGAGGTCAATAATGTCTACATAAAACTCCCATATTCTCAGCTTCAGGCAACTTTGCTAAAATTTAACAAAGGCTAGTTTCATCAGATATTCAATCATCGGAATAGCGACTCGACTAGTTCGTAAGTCAGACACTTAAGATAAAGCTGAGAAAATGTTTTAATAATCATTGAAATGAATGAAGTCTTCATATAGTGAACCTATATTATATTGTAAACATTATATAAATCCAAAGATAAGCTAGGAATTACAAAGATTTATGCCCAAATCAAATCTGAAATCAAAAATCTTAATGCTATCTATAACCATACACTTTTATCATGCAAATCTCCTATCAGCATGTGGAAACTTTTCAGTGAAATTACTGGCTATAGTAAGCGATGTAATGTTATTCCCTCTTGTGATGTTAATGCTCTTAATCATTCTTTTATACGCTCTCCTTCTACTATAACCACTTCTAATGTTACTAATCATGTAGCTGATAACTTCCAGGACTTTAACACTCTCGACGCTTTAAAATGTCTTAAAATTCTTAAGCCCTCATGTAGTCTTGACCCTGATGGTATACCTGCATATGTTCTAAAACAATGTGCAGATGCTTTCTGTTCTCCTCTAACTAACATCCTAAATGCTTATTTCTCCGAAAACGTTGTACCTGTTCCATGGAAAGACATTAAAATAGTCCCTGTCCCTAAACCTGGCAATAGCAAGAACGTAAAGTTCAGACTCATTGCCATCACTTCCTCGCTTCTAAATCTTATGGAAAAACTAGTACTTCTTAAACTCGAAACCTCCCTTAAAAGCTTTGAAGATCCCACACAAATCGGCTACAGACACGGTAGGAGTACTTTAGACGCTGCAGCCGTCTCACAACAACAGCATCATCTCATTATTAGATAAAGGTGCCAAATACGTCCACTGCACGTTTCTCGACTTCACTTCTGCTTTCGACTCTGTACCTAGATGTCTCTTGCTAAATAACCTCTCCATGACACAAACTGAGTCCAGGGTCACTAACTGGTTGCATTCCTGCCTCTCTAACAGAATGCAGTACACTGTATACAAAGGTAAATCCTCCTCTGCTGTGCTCACTGAATCTGGTGTCCCCCAAGGTGCTGTACTCTCCCCACTTCTCTTTTCTTTCTTCCTACATGACCTACCATCTTCAAATGACATTAATTTTGTCAAATAAGCTGACGACCTGACTGTATCTTTACCTGTCGAATGTCAAAGTGACTGCTCTAAACTAAATGGCTTTTTATCAGAAGTTAGCTAATGGTCCAAGGAAAACGGTCTCACCTTAAACCCCTCCAAATGCCAAACAGTCAATTTCACCCTCAGGCATAAATCTGATCTAAACAAACTGGTTGGCACTCACGAGGTGCGCAACATAGATGGCACTGAAATACAAACCAAGTCAGAAATTAAATACCTAGGCGTCATTTCAATCTGCTGATCTTTCCTGGTCGTCTCATATCTTGATGATTGCTAAGAAAATATACCGTCTTACCTTCTACATCAAGAAGTTAAGACATTCTGGTGTAACCCAACCCTTACTCCTACAATTTGTTAACTCCCGTATTCTGCCTATTATTCTCTATTGTTCCCCCTTAGTTTTTCCTGGCTACTGAAGAAAGACTATGCCTTATTACGCAGGATGTTAAAGCTTGTCAGCAGGGTAAGCTATGTGCCACTTAACCAGCTTGTTAATATTCTGGTTGACAGGCACATCGACTCATGTGAACAATGGGCGAAATCCATTTTATCTAACTCACAACACCCTCTACATTCACAACTCTCCCCTTGTATCTCTTCAGGCAAAACCAGAAGCCTATATAGAAAACTATATGCTCGCTCTAGCAAGTACAAAAACTCAACCATACCCTACTTAGCTCGTGTTCTGTGAGATAAAGAAAGCATTAAGCATGAAACCTTTAACTTATTGAATAGCCAATAGAACAACTGGATCTCGTCTTTCCAACCCATATCATTTATAGATACAACGTTCTCTGTCTTTCTTTTCCTTTTCTCTCTCTTTTTTTCTGTTATGTGCTGTTTTGTTTCTCTCTCACTTACAAACTCAACTTAAAACATGCTTCTTCGTTCTCTCGCACTCTGTATATCTCGACATTTTGTTACCGCTTACTCCAGTAAGTATGCTAGCGTCTACTTTTCTAACACCTTCAAACACTCTGTTCAATTTTGGTTTTGCTGCCGACATGCCAATATATTGTTGTCAAAACTAACTGAGATTACCCTTAATCTATGTCGAATTTTATTTATTGATAATGTACTAACTGGATACAATGCTGTAGTAAAATGCTGAGAATCCGATTCTGATTCACAAGTACTGTTTTGGAATAAAGCTAATTATTATTATTATGTCAAAAAGAAGGATAGCTGTAACAACAAATAAACCATTTTTACAGAAAATATCACCTTCTAATTATTTCTGTCTTCTAAGAGTTGCAACATTTCAGCAAAGTTCAACTGAAACATAAACTCCTAAAGCCAACGTGTAAGGAGCACCGCAGTCACATCATGCCAGTCATATATATACCACTTGAAAAATTCACATCCTCCTACACTCTCGAAAACATTTTGTGCAATTTTATTAGAAACTATTTCTATTCAAACAATTTCAATGACCGAAACCCACACAATAGCACAATAAGCTGATACGACAACACACATGGTATTTACAGTCAGTCTTCATGCGGAACTATTTCGTACGTGTTTTGATGACTACTGATTCATTATTCAGACAGTCTGAAGGAAATATGTTTTCTACCAATTACATTTACTCATATTTTAATTTTGCTTATTTCTCTAATGAAGTTTAAACCAGTTAACTGAACGGGACTTTGGAATTGTTTGTTTCACAGTCGATGAGATTTATACATATGAGAAACATCAATCACTACTTAGTAATTGTATCTAAAATTCATAAGAACTTAGAGCAATTATAACAGGCAATTATAACAGCATTTCGTAGAGGTAACCAAGACCTTCGTGATATTATAATATAAAAAAATAAACATTGTTCTTGGCTTCTAGAGTTTTTAATAAAACTAACATTAAATTGCTACTCATATCTACATATTTACTCACAGAAACTTCATTGGATCTGAAATCGTATAGACCTAATCGGATATGATTATTCAGTCTGCTGAATGCCTGTAGAATAGTTATGAGGTCAAGACTCTATGCATTGAACTAGTCTGGTGTAGGTCAATCAGATTAACAGTTGTAAACGTCTTTAAGTTAAGTCACCTCTATAGGTATCTACACACACCACTAAGCACTATAGTGTGGAAAATAACTGAAGTCCTGGAGACTTATATTGTTTCCTGGAAAGATGGGCTGATCACTGAATGTGTTGTTGTCGACATTATATGGTTATCTAGAACGTTTTCATAAGTAATATTCAAATCTTGAAACCAAATAATTCTTTAAACAAAGTTGGATTCATGAACCTCAGCATGTACATCTCTCGTATTCCACTGGCAAAAAGCCTCTATCATATCAGTCGAATGCTGTCTGAAAACACGATTGGTTCGAAAGTGCTATGTGAATATACTTACTTACACGTGATGTGGATAGTGTATGGGAATATCGGCTTGAGCACCTTGATGCTTTGGCTGAGTTTTACATGTCAAAATTAAATTTTCAAAATGTGCAAAATTAATAATAATAATCTATTGTATGTATGTAAATGCTGTGTAAATATATTCAGGTTTGTCTTTTTCATTATTCTAAGAATTTTATAATTTTTTATTTTACACACTCTCATTCTACTTTTATCCATTATGGTGATTGAAATCAAGTGGTAACAAGCAGATGGCGTGTTAAAGTTCAGCACTATCTACAACTGGTTCTCATCTGAGTGAACTCTAATCTGTTGGACATTATTATTATTATTGTATCCTTTAGTTCCTAGAGGAACATAGGGCTTCAGCTGAGCACCTCCATTGCCTTCTGTTTTCTGCCAGCTTTTTCAACCCGCTCCAGGTCTGTCCACATGCTTTCATCTCCTCCTCGCATGACCTCCTCCAAGTCACCCTTGGACGACCAACTCGCCTCCTCCCTTTCGGGTTCCACTCGAGGGCTTGTCTAGTGATGTCACTTGATGATTTCCTCAGCGTATGGACAATCCATCTCCATTTCTTTCTGCCTATTTGTTTCACAATCGGTTCCTGATTGGTTCGCTCCAGAGATCCCTGTTGCTGATCTTTTCTGGCCATCTGATCTGTTGGACATAGGGCATAAATATTAAGAAGTCAATGAAAAAGAGAAGACGCTCAGCGAAGAGACTCTTTTCGACGGCGAATTCATTCACATAGCTGTACAATCGCATTTATATATAATTATCTGTGTGTGTGTACATGAGGTTTGTCAAAATTAGATAATTGATCAGGTAATAAAAGAATGATCTAATATAGAAACAAGTTTAATTGGACAGGAACTAAAGTAAGATTGAGTCAGTAAGTTAGATGACGTAATATAATTGACTAAAATGTTTCAACTTAGGTCAGGGTAGCAACAGAGGTAATTACAGGTAGAGACTAAGTAGAAGTGGTGTAGATAATAATGTCATTTAAATTAGAACTGAAATTGAGCAATTGAGTTGTATAAGCGTTGGTCAAGGAGCTGAAAGAACCTATGAAAAACGAAGAGATTATGATATTACGTCCTGATAAAGGCGGAGTAATCGTAATTATGAATCGCAAGGACTATATCAGTAAGATGTTGACTATACTATCCGATGAATGTAAATTCACAAAACCGATCAACGAGAAAAACATGACTAAACAGACTGAACAAAGCTAACGGACACCCTCCGTAAGCTAAAGGCTGAATTTTTCATCAGCAACGAAACGTTCGAATCCCTAAGACCATCCGGCTCAAATATACGACGACTCTACGGACTCCCAAAAGTACACAAGAAGGGTATCCCTCTTCGGCCGATCCTCGACATGACCAATTCGCCCTATCACCGCACAGCCCAATGGCTAGCAGAACTACTAGAACCAATAAGAAGACAAGTTTTTCCTGCCAAACAGTTCGAGATTCATTCGACTTTACTGACTCAATCGAAAACATCGACGTCTCCAACAAGACCATGATTTCATTAGATGTCACATCACTATTTACAAACGTTCCACTGACTGAAACAATATGCTATATATGCGAAATTATCAATTCCAAAGGAATAAACATCGGTATACCCAACGAGCGTCTTAAAGAACTCCTGCTGAGGTGTACCCTGAATGTTCAATTCTCTTTCAACAACGAGGTATATCGCCAAAAGGATGGTATAGCTATGGGCTCACCACTAGGCCCATTACTTGCAGATTTCTTTATGGCAAAACTCGAAAACACATGCATGAAGAAAATAATCGATATCTTCGGAATCTACAAGAGATACGTCGACGACACTTTCATTATCGTCAACAAAGAAGAAAATCTAGAGGACGTCCTGAAGTCGTTTAACAATTGCCACCCCACAATTCAGTTCACGCTGGAGAAAGAGTCCAACTCTAAAATATCCTTTCTTGACATCCAACTAACAAGACGAGAACAGGATAGAACACTGAAAAGATCTATCTACAGAAAGTCAACATGGAACGGACAGCTTATTAACTTTCACCCCTATACACCAAACTAAACCTGATCCGTTCACTCAGCTACAGAGTTCGCAGAATTTGTATCCCGGACACCGTAAGAAGATGAACTGGACAATCTCAAGAGAATCCTCGTCGAGAATTGTTACCCAGAACGATTTCTTGCAAAATCTATGAATCCTAGACCACAAAAGCCGCCCATGCATAGCGTCCCAAAGAAACCACTCTACATGAACCTTCAATTCAATGGAGATATATCTGCAGAAACACTAAAAAATCGACTGTCGCGCTCACTCAAGAAGACCTTCTTCGCAGCTGAACTACGACTACCTTTCTCCACAAAACCTATGATTCATGTGAACGTGAAGGATAAGCTACCACTGTTGGCCTCATCAATGTGTATTTATCAATTCACCTGCTCGTGTGGAACCAGGTATGTCGGCCGTACTCAGCGTTCGCTTTCCAAGCGTACCACCGAACACTTACCAGCATGGTTTTACAAAGGAAAAAAACGGTGTCTCCGCAGCTCCATTTTAGAACATCTGATAGATTCCGGACACCAAGCTACACCTCAAACAAACTTTAAAGTCGTCTACAGATTAAGAAGTAGTCTCCTTAAAGAAGTGTACGCAATGGACTTCTTCAAACTGCTGAAGCAATGGCGATTCACTTGCTAAGCCCCGAACTCTGCATACAGAAGAAGTTCGTCCATTCACTACACTTGCAATGGACGTAATCTATCTTATTACCCGATAAGTAAATTCTACCTAATCTTTTTTTCTGTCTCTTCATTAGTATTATTTTGTCTTCTCAATTGTAATATTTCGCATTTTCAACTTTCTTTTTCTCTACCCCCACCCGATTTAATTTCTACACCTCACTACCACTGTTACTGACCTGACCAACGCTCAATTTCTAGTCATTTATGTTACGTCATCCAACTTATTTTCTCAATTTCAGTTCTAATCTATATGGCATTATTCTCTACCCCACTTTTACTTAGTCTCTACCTGTAATTACCTCTGTTGCTACCCTGACCTAAGTTGAAACATTTTAGTCAATTATATTACGTCATCTAACTTACTGACTCAATCTTACTTTAGTTCCTGTCCAATTAACCTTGTTTCTATATTATTATTATTGCTCCCTTGGGTTCCTAGTGGAACATAGGGCTCCAACTATACGTCTCCATTTGCTTCTGTCTTCTCCTGTACTTTCACCTGCGTCCATGTTAGTCCATACTCTTTCAACTCCTCTTCACACGATCTCCTCCATGTCACCCTTGGACGTCCAACACGCCCTTTCCCTTTCGGGTTCCACCCGAGCATGCGATGTCACCGAGTGGTCTCCTCAGCGAGTGACCGATCCATCTCCACTTTCTCCTGCATATTTGTTGGGCGATTGGTTCTTGCTTTGTTTGTTCCCATAGTTCCTTGTTGGTGATTCTTTCCGGCCCGACCATTTGATCTTCAGTATAGAGCGAAGACAGTTGTTAATAAAGGTCTGCAACAGGCTCTTAGAAATATTCTTTGTGACCCACCCTCCAAGTTTCTGATCCGTATAGAAGAACGGACTTGATGTTGGCACTGAAAATCCGAATTTTGTTGTTGATGCTGAGTGATGCTGTGCGTCGGTGGCATAGCGGTTAGGACGCTCGCCAACTATGCACATGGTCAGGGGTTCGATTCCCGGCCGACGCACTCCAAACCTCGCCAGATTACTAGCTTGCTAGGCTAGTAGCTTTCTAGTTTTCTAGCCGGTCCCAAGCCCGGATAAAGAGGGAGGGTTGGAACGTGGTGCTAGCAACTCCACCCCGTAAAACAACCAAATCGCTACAGAAACTTCAATATTTCTATAATAGATCATTCTTTTATTATAATAGAGAAGTTTTGTGGCTCAGGTGGATGATTTTGATGTGGTTGTGGTCGCAAATAAACCATCCAGCTCAGAGAACTAACCACATCAAAATCATTCTTTTATTATCTGATCAATTATCTAAACTTGACAAACCTCATGTACACACACACAAATAATTATATATAAATGCGATTGTACAGCTATGTGAATGAATTCGCCGTCGAAAAGAGTCTCTTCGCTGAACGTCTTCTCTTATTCATGTGACTCAATAAGAAGTTGATTACCAAATATTCAACCAAAATAGATGCTTGTTTTGTATAGGCTGGACCTTCTAAAAATTTAGTCACACCATTACGCAAACATTTACACTTTGTAAAATTGCTTATACAAGAAGACAAACCTCATATTTAACACGTGGCCCAGTGCCATATCGCCGCATATCTGAAGACTCAGTAGCTTTAGACTTTACATCGAAGATCTCTTCACTATCACCTCCAGCATATGATTGTTGAACTTGAATTAAACCGAACCGTTCAGCCATTCCAACTCCTTCACGTGCAGCATTTGGTGCTGCTGACGGAGGTATACTTCGTGGAGCAATTTTTATACCAGTACTAGATTGACATGATGAATTAGATTGAGACTTCACGCCAAAAATTTCTGCCATTTGTGAACCTGTATGATCGATTCTATCAGAATCGTTGTCAAAAGGATGTTGGTATTTTTGAGAAGCTTGAATTTCTTCTGATTTATATGCAAGGCCACTTTTGCTGGAATCAGAAAGAATAGCTAGTTACATCATAACTCAAATACTAACTGGGAAGTGAACATCACAGATTACATTACACATACAATTAGTTCAATACAAAATGCATATTGAGGAATGCCACAAATTTATTTTATCTGGTTATCAGACAACAATCAGCATAAATGGGAGGAAACTGAAAGAAACAGCGTCCCTCATCTACCCACCTACTACATGGGAAGCATCGTCTCAACTACAGGCGAAACTGACGAGGACATCAAAGCCAGAATCGGAAAAGCAAGACAAGCTTTCATTACTCTCAAATTTGTGTGGAGGTCAACAGCACTCAGCATCAAAAATAACATCCGGATTTTCAACACCAATGTGAAGTCAGTGCTACTATACGGATCAGAGACTTGGCGAGTCATAAAGAGCATCTCAAACAAACTTCAGACCTTCATTAACAGTTGTCTTCACTCAATACTCAAGATCAGATGGCCAGAAAAGATCAGCAACAGGGATCTCTGGGAGCGAACCAATCAGGAACCGATTGTGAATCAAATAGGTAGAAAGAAATGGAGATGGATTGGCCATACGCTGAGGAAATCATCAAGTGACATCACTAGACAAGCCCTCGAGTGGAACCCGAAAGGGAGGAGGCGAGTTGGTCGTCCAAGGGTGACTTGGAGGAGGTCATGCGAGGAGGAGATGAAAGCATGTGGACAGACCTGGAGCGGGGTGAAAAAGCTGGCAGAAAACAGAAGGCAATGGAGGTGCTCAGCTGAAGCCCTATGTTCCTCTAGGAACTAAAGGATACAATAATAATAATAATAATATAATCATAATGGTCGTTAAGTTGTACTCAAAAATTATCAAAAGACAATCATACACGACCAAAGAACATGCAGGTCGTATCACTAAAGTAAGTAGCAGTAAACTTCGGAAAGCTAAAGATAATTTTAAAAAAATCTACAGTCCTATGATTCAACAGTTGAGCGGATAGGTTTCAGATGTTTGAAATGACTGATGCCCTATCCGACTTACTCACGAAAGTAACAAAAGGCGTGTCAGAAGATTTGCTTCTGACCACAAAGAATTGAATTTTATTTATTATCTTCAAGTGTTTGGTTTTTGGTCACTCTATGGAATTTAAAGTACATTTTGTCACAAATCTATCTCAGTGAAAACCAGAGAACACTGAATAGCTGTTTTTTCCCAGTTCAGGAACTTCTAGCCGTGGAAAACCATGGCTTCATCAAGATTCGAACTCAGTACCATGCCATGAGTTTCGGACCCTAAACTCGTCTCAATTCTCAGGCATAACGCCAACTGAAGCCCCGATTTCCGATCCTTGGTGTAGTTAGAGGTGTGTACCGTGGAAAGGGTCCAAACTAGGAAGAAATTGCTGAACAGCGCACCTTAGTTACAAGAACTTGTCTAACTGCTAACGGTTAGTAAAGAAATCTACCCTGGAATAATCCACTTATCTATTTATTTTGACGTAGGACACGTAGGGCAATGGAGGTGCTCAGCTGAAGCCCTATGTTCCTCTAGGAACTAAAGGATACAATAATAATAATAATAATATAATCATAATGGTCGTTAAGTTGTACTCAAAAATTATCAACCGGGCATATTCGCGTCAAAAAGACAATCATACACGACCAAAGAACATGCAGGTCGTATCACTAAAGTAAGTAGCAGTAAACTTCGGAAAGCTAAAGATAATTTTAAAAAAATTTACACTCCTATGATTCAACAGTTGAGCGGATAGGTTTCAGATGTTTGAAATGACTGATGCTCTATCCGACTTACTCACGAAAGTAACAAAAGGCGTGTCAGAAGATTTGCTTCTGACCACAAAGAATTGAATTTTATTTATTATCTTCAAGTGTTTGGTTTTTGGTCACTCTATGGAATTTAAAGTACATTTTGTCACAAATCTATCTCAGTGAAAACCAGAGAACACTGAATAGCTGTTTTTTCCCAGTTCAGGAACTTCTAGCCGTGGAAAACCATGGCTTCATCAAGATTCGAACTCAGTACCATGCCATGAGTTTCGGACCCTAAACTCGTCTCAATTCTCAGGCATAACGCCAACTGAAGCCCCGATTTCCGATCCTTGGTGTAGTTAGAGGTGTGTACCGTGGAAAGGGTCCAAACTAGGAAGAAATTGCTGAACAGCGCACCTTAGTTACAAGAACTTGTCTAACTGCTAACGGTTAGTAAAGAAATCTACCCTGGAATAATCCACTTATCTATTTATTTTGACGTAGGACACGTAGGGCAATGGAGGTGCTCAGCTGAAGCCCTATGTTCCTCTAGGAACTAAAGGATACAATAATAATAATAATAATATAATCATAATGGTCGTTAAGTTGTACTCAAAAATTATCAACCGGGCATATTCGCGTCAAAAAGACAATCATACACGACCAAAGAACATGCAGGTCGTATCACTAAAGTAAGTAGCAGTAAACTTCGGAAAGCTAAAGATAATTTTAAAAAAATTTACACTCCTATGATTCAACAGTTGAGCGGATAGGTTTCAGATGTTTGAAATGACTGATGCTCTATCCGACTTACTCACGAAAGTAACAAAAGGCGTGTCAGAAGATTTGCTTCTGACCACAAAGAATTGAATTTTATTTATTATCTTCAAGTGTTTGGTTTTTGGTCACTCTATGGAATTTAAAGTACATTTTGTCACAAATCTATCTCAGTGAAAACCAGAGAACACTGAATAGCTGTTTTTTCCCAGTTCAGGAACTTCTAGCCGTGGAAAACCATGGCTTCATCAAGATTCGAACTCAGTACCATGCCATGAGTTTCGGACCCTAAACTCGTCTCAATTCTCAGGCATAACGCCAACTGAAGCCCCGATTTCCGATCCTTGGTGTAGTTAGAGGTGTGTACCGTGGAAAGGGTCCAAACTAGGAAGAAATTGCTGAACAGCGCACCTTAGTTACAAGAACTTGTCTAACTGCTAACGGTTAGTAAAGAAATCTACCCTGGAATAATCCACTTATCTATTTATTTTGACGTAGGACACGTAGGGCAATGGAGGTGCTCAGCTGAAGCCCTATGTTCCTCTAGGAACTAAAGGATACAATAATAATAATAATAATATAATCATAATGGTCGTTAAGTTGTACTCAAAAATTATCAACCGGGCATATTCGCGTCAAAAAGACAATCATACACGACCAAAGAACATGCAGGTCGTATCACTAAAGTAAGTAGCAGTAAACTTCGGAAAGCTAAAGATAATTTTAAAAAAATTTACACTCCTATGATTCAACAGTTGAGCGGATAGGTTTCAGATGTTTGAAATGACTGATGCTCTATCCGACTTACTCACGAAAGTAACAAAAGGCGTGTCAGAAGATTTGCTTCTGACCACAAAGAATTGAATTTATAATTATTATCTTCAAGTGTTTGGTTTTTGGTCACTCTATGGAATTTAAAGTACATTTTGTCACAAATCTATCTCAGTGAAAACCAGAGAACACTGAATAGCTGTTTTTTCCCAGTTCAGGAACTTCTAGCCGTGGAAAACCATGGCTTCATCAAGATTCGAACTCAGTACCATGCCATGAGTTTCGGACCCTAAACTCGTCTCAATTCTCAGGCATAACGCCAACTGAAGCCCCGATTTCCGATCCTTGGTGTAGTTAGAGGTGTGTACCGTGGAAAGGGTCCAAACTAGGAAGAAATTGCTGAACAGCGCACCTTAGTTACAAGAACTTGTCTAACTGCTAACGGTTAGTAAAGAAATCTACCCTGGAATAATCCACTTATCTATTTATTTTGACGTAGGACACGTAGGGCAATAGAGGTGCTCAGCTGAAGCCCTATGTTCCTCTAGGAACTAAAGGATACAATAATAATAATAATAATATAATCATAATGGTCGTTAAGTTGTACTCAAAAATTATCAACCGGGCATATTCGCGTCAAAAAGACAATCATACACGACCAAAGAACATGCAGGTCGTATCACTAAAGTAAGTAGCAGTAAACTTCGGAAAGCTAAAGATAATTTTAAAAAAATTTACACTCCTATGATTCAACAGTTGAGCGGATAGGTTTCAGATGTTTGAAATGACTGATGCTCTATCCGACTTACTCACGAAAGTAACAAAAGGCGTGTCAGAAGATTTGCTTCTGACCACAAAGAATTGAATTTTATTTATTATCTTCAAGTGTTTGGTTTTTGGTCACTCTATGGAATTTAAAGTACATTTTGTCACAAATCTATCTCAGTGAAAACCAGAGAACACTGAATAGCTGTTTTTTCCCAGTTCAGGAACTTCTAGCCGTGGAAAACCATGGCTTCATCAAGATTCGAACTCAGTACCATGCCATGAGTTTCGGACCCTAAACTCGTCTCAATTCTCAGGCATAACGCCAACTGAAGCCCCGATTTCCGATCCTTGGTGTAGTTAGAGGTGTGTACCGTGGAAAGGGTCCAAACTAGGAAGAAATTGCTGAACAGCGCACCTTAGTTACAAGAACTTGTCTAACTGCTAACGGTTAGTAAAGAAATCTACCCTGGAATAATCCACTTATCTATTTATTTTGACGTAGGACACGTAGGGCAATAGAGGTGCTCAGCTGAAGCCCTATGTTCCTCTAGGAACTAAAGGATACAATAATAATAATAATAATATAATCATAATGGTCGTTAAGTTGTACTCAAAAATTATCAACCGGGCATATTCGCGTCGAAAAGACAATCATACACGACCAAAGAACATGCAGGTCGTATCACTAAAGTAAGTAGCAGTAAACTTCGGAAAGCTAAAGATAATTTTAAAAAAATTTACACTCCTATGATTCAACAGTTGAGCGGATAGGTTTCAGATGTTTGAAATGACTGATGCTCTATCCGACTTACTCACGAAAGTAACAAAAGGCGTGTCAGAAGATTTGCTTCTGACCACAAAGAATTGAATTTTATTTATTATCTTCAAGTGTTTGGTTTTTGGTCACTCTATGGAATTTAAAGTACATTTTGTCACA